CGAAAGGCGGCAGCTAAAACAGCGACGAAAGCCAATACAGATTCCGGGAAGTTCGATGAGGTGTTGGAGTCACATTTCCAGACGGAAAACAAGGAATTCTGCCAGACTCTCCACTGACTCCGAAATGAAAAGAAGGGCAGTATAAGTTTTGACTGACACGCCTAGACAACCTTTCACCGAGGATAAGGACATTCTTCAGAGACGAACAGAGTACTGTGACGAACTCCTTAACCCCGATCAACCGCAGGACTCGCCAGTAAAGCAACAGGAAACGGGTATTACTCTCTCTGTAGATGAAATTGCACAAGCTGAAAAGCTTGAAAAACGGAAAGGCTGCCGGAACTGATGAAAGCTGCCCTGAAATGCTCAATTCATTAGGCGAACAAAGCATGTGCTGGCAGACACGTGTCTGCCAAACCGCAGTGGCCACGGGAAAGACACCAGCGGAATCGAAAACGGGGTTTGTTGCACCCCTGTTCAAGATGGGGGGACAATAGGGAGTTCACCAATTATTGAGAAATTATCTTATTGTACCTACTCGGTAAAGTGTAAGCAAACTTGGTAGAAAGGTGCTGCAGAGTCACTGACTTCAATATATAAGTAGAGCAGTGTGGCTTCCGGACCGGTCAAAGAAGCTCTGACAACGTATTAGCACTACGTCAGACTGTTGAAAAATCGTGGGAATTCGCCCATCCGGTGTACATGTACTTAGCTGACTTACAGAAAGCCTATGACCGGATCCCTCGAAACAATCTATGGGCATGCCTGCGAACATATGGGATCGATGACCACTTGCTACGGGTCATTCAGTCACTATATCCTGACAGCAGGTGCCGCATCAGAGTTAACAGCGTTAAGTCGAAACCTTTCAACGTTGGTACTAGTCTCCACCAAGGCTGCGTCCTGTCTCCTCTCCTGTTTGTGTTGTACATGGATAGAATAGTCAGGCGCAGCCAAGGTCATGAGTGTATCGGATCGGTATAGGAGATGTGAAGACGAGAAGGTTGCTGTTTGCAGACGGCCTTGTTTTACTGGCACCTTCTGAAACCGATCTCCAGCGCTTTGTGGAATGGTTTGCAGCTGAGTTCGATCGGCTGGCATGCGTCTGAATATATCTAAAACGAAAAGCTTTAGTGCTTTCTCGTTCTGTTGTCCGTTATTCTCTTCAAATAAACGAACAAGCAGTGAAGCAGGTTGAGAAGTTCAGTTCCCTCAGGAACTTGTTAACTCATGATGGAAAATCAGAGGAAAGGATCGAGCGGCTTACTGGAGTAGTCGGCGGCGTTTTGCGTGAACTAGCCTGAACCGCTGTGAGTAGAGCTGAATCTGAAGAAAAAGATCTTTATCAAGTCGATCTTCATCCCCATGTTTACCTTCGGCCATGAAGCGTGGACTATGACTGAAAATTTGATCCCCGCTAAAAGAGGCTGAAATGGGCTAACACAAGTCGCTGGCCTCACGCATCGAGAGATGACCCAGAGTACAGAAAACCGTGAGTACCTCGGTGTACAGCGGCTGTTTCCTCAGATGGAGAAGTCACAGCAGCGACGGTTTGGGCATGTGTTGAGTGCTTTAAAAAGGGAAGCAAAGCAACCACTTTCTGTCCAGCTGACCGGTAGAAGGCCCAGGGGACAACCAAGATCAACCTGGTGCTAATACATGGGAAAAATCTGCATTAGTCTTCGGCTGTCTTTTGTCCAAAGTCGGACTGGGGCACAGGATCGGGAACGTTGGAAGCTGTCTGAAGTAACTGGCTCTATGAGCCAAAAGTAGTCATGGACGAGGAAGAAGATTTGAATCAGTCGTTCCGTTTTGCATTCAGTACGATTAAGAGAAATTTCATAAAATATTCAAATTTAAAATGTGTAGCTACTTCGCTGTTGAAACATTTCAGCGTCAAATTGGCTGCTTGGTGAAAAGAATAAATTACATTAATTTTACTACAAAGTAAATTTCAGCTTCAACTTTGGAAACCATCATGCCTAGTAGCGAAAACTTAAAATTGCTTGAAGCTCCACTTGAGAACTTGAAAAGCAGGCAAACAGAGGAAGTGCAATACGTGTAGACAAAACATGGTAAGAATGTTAAGCGATGTTAAGGAGCAGATAACAGAAGCGCCAGTGAAAGGAAAACAAAATATACTGAACAACCGTTCATCTGCTTAACCAACTGAGTTGTCAGCAGCAAAAAATTTTAATAACCAAATATAAAAAGAACAAAACGCAATTTCACTGACTAACAACGCCGAATTTCTCGTATCTTTCGACTGTCTGTATGACGTTTGAATCAAACAGTTCGCAGCGAATCGGCATGTCAAGAGAGTAAAACGGATTCTTGAGCGCATAATCGACATAGTGCTCATATATTCGCTGCAAAAAGTGGTCGAGATTCGGTGTATTTACGTCTGAAACGGACAAGAACTTCATGCCGGTAAGCGTCTGGAAGCAATGTAGCCGGAATGTGTCTGTTTCCAATACGCGGATGCCAGAACTAGCCGCAACTGGACTAAGCTGGACGCCAATGGCGTAGAACGAATGGAACATGCTGGACAGGATGATTTTCTCGTTAGTCGACAACGCTGGCCGTGCGAAGTGCAATGACAGAGGGTAGTTCTCCTCGTTACCTAGGAACTGCATTAACGATGCAAAACTGCTTCCAGTGATATCTGTTAATTCTGACAACGGTTTGCCGTTTATCTTCACCACTGTGTACCCGATACCAACGCCGCCGCGCTCTCCGAGAACCACCGTTGGACGACTGTCGATAGATTCCATTTTAAAGTCGATCGCCGACTCGAACCGTAACTCAATTTCCACACACTTCGGTGCATTACTGTAATCATAAATCAGACCACCGGCCCGATTTATAATGAAAACGTAATAAATCGGCATAGACTAAGAATAACTAATCTTCCAATGGCAAATTGAACTTTTCGTGCAAGGATTTGCCTGTAACTTCTAGTCTGGTGGCTAAAAACAGCAGATAAAGTAAATATGTGAATGCCGTGAACAGGGCTGAATTTTTGCATAAACATTTTTAATACAAACTCTTACTTAGATTCAGCTATAAGTGTTCCACAAAACGATGCACTATTTACCCTGTTCAATAAAAATTATTTCTTTCACGTTGCTCTCAGAAAGAGCACGAAAGATTAAGGCATATAATGCAAGTACAAAATACAGCGGAATCCGCTTTCTATAGCTGCTACGACAACCAAGAAGGCTAGCCATGGACCCGGAAACATTCAGCTAACGAAATAACAGTAACGAGACAATTACCGCTATAGCTACAGGAGAAAAAGGATGACTACTGTACGAAGCCAGATAGAAAGACAGCGCCGCTGAATACTTCTGTGGCAAAAAAGACACGGTGAAACATCTCGTCACATCGTCCATCAGCTGAACGGATGACGCTGTTTATGAATAAATGAAATGTTCATATTCAGAGGATGATTTTGTGCTGATAAAATAAAGCGTCTACGATGAAATTATACGCAACCTACTATTTGGAGAAAAATATTAACCCCTAAAACGTCAAAAGACTGACAAATAAGAAAAGTTTCTCCACTTTATTGTCAGTTGGTCGGTCGGTCAGTCAGTCAGGGTCATACCACCGATTATCCCATCGGGTCGCGGAGACAGGCGAGCCAGTCGGTGTCCCCGACATTCCCGATCCTGTACCAGCGTTTGAGATTCGGCACAAGATAACCTGAGCCTAGAGTCCTCCGAGACATGCCACAAGCCATTTTTGGCCGATATCGGTGATCAACCTTCTGATTTTCGATTGTGAGGTCCCAATGACAGTACTGTCACGGCCCTTGGTAACTCAAACGACGATGCAGCCAGTATAATGTTCGATAACGGTAATGTCATGAGGGACAGCGGGCAAAATTTTATGGGAGAACCTGACACTGTCTCTAATTCTCTTTCTTTCTCATTCGGGCTTCGACCCTGCAACGGAGAAGCTTCGTCGATTGTTCCGTCTTTATTTCCACACATAGCCACAATCTACGTCGTCTAGAAAATAAACAGTCAGCAAATGGAATCAAGGTTCAAGCTAAGGCACTTGATGAATCATCATGATTCACGCTAAATTTCACTAACAATTTAGTTAAAACAACACATTTAAAAGTAAACGAGATGCTAGACGAAGTACAGTCAACAGATTGCACGTACCGAGCTGTCCAATTAAGGATTGACAAAGATCTTTAATGTCGTTGTAACGATGAAGTAGCTGCAAATAATTTTCTAGATATTCAACACGAACTCCTCTATAAAAGACGTCGTTAATATGAGATTAAGTCGTTCTATCGATTACTTGTTGTTTAGACTTTCTATTTCCTGATCGATTTTCGACTCCTCCAGCTCGAGATCCTTCTCTGTAACGGTCACCTTCTCAGAAGAGGCAGAGATACGCCTTGGCGGACGAAAACATTTATTTACAATCTACTGGCACACAAGTTTATCGACTTTACCATAAACAGTGATGACTCACCGACCGTCTACTTGGAACGCTTGAAGTAGTGAAAGAGAAACTGCCTTTTGACATCTGATAGAAAACTGAAAACCACACAAACTTACAGAAGGCAGCATACCTCCGGACAAACGTTGCATCTAACATCGTCAAGTTTATAAATGCAATATTTTTTATTTTTTATAGAATGAACGAGTTAGCAACACTAAATGAACTGAAAATGCAAATAATTTAAAGCAAAAGTACATGAGAACAAATTATTAGTAACGGTTCGCTTCAGTTGCAGTTCTTCGAACTTGAAGTTTCCCCAGGACCTTTGGCAGCCGAGGATCGAATAATGCTGTTTTTTAAGGAGGCAGTATATGCCTTCTTCCCTAAGTTAAAATTTGAGACCGTTTCCTCGCACAGAAAGTAGAAGGTAAAATTTTCATGCAATATATTTATGACTGCACTTCATACTCCAACTGAAAACGATGGATTACACAGTAAGCTAAGCTGAAAAGCATTCAGTAACGTGAATGCACTGTCAACATAGTCTGATTTTACACAAAGCGCTGTGGAAAAACGTCGGCTTCGAATTCAGGCGATGCCGGGTTCGAATCCTGACAAAGAAGAAAAATGATCCTAATCGCTAATTTCCCTAAGGAAGAAATTTACCACATTTTGCTTCGGGAATCAGCTGAGAAACAGGCAGTAAATCATTGACTTAAGAGCAACAGGGATGGCATGTTCTTTGGATCTGCTAATATCAAGATGAGCAAAAGGCATGGTCATGCCATCTAATGCAAGATCTTCGTAGGGCTGCAATTTGCTTTAACCAACCTTACAACTATCTAGTATGATAATTAACACATGGTTTAAGCCCTGTTGCTGTTATGATTCTACGTTACCAGATCGTGATGTAATGCTATTTTAATTTCACGTCGGTCATAAATTTTTCACACTTTCGTAAGCAGAAGCATAAAAAATACCGCTACAATTTCGTGTGCAACCGAAAGCCAAAAATTTAGGGTTATATCAAGATATAATAATTTTGCATCATTACAATTTCCATTAGCTGTTACACTCAAATGATACATATGAGTGCAACTGCACTGGAACTATGAAGTTACATGCATGTGCAGCCAGATGCATTCAGGCCAGAACCTTTTCCTTTGTTATAAGATGCTTTTGAAGCATACCAATACTGCATTCCAGGAAACAGTAAACAGTAGAATGACTTGCAGATCGATAACAGGATGAACTAAAGAAGTTCGCTGGGTCAAGATGCAGAGAACAAAAGTTTGTACAAACTCACAGAGACGCCTACATCAAGTGATGAAAAACACACCGAGTCTGTGACCAAGCAGCAAAAAACACTTTTAATAATCTTAAAACGGTTCATACCCGTTCCAAAAAATGCCAAAGCGCAAGTAGCAACTGACGATCGAAAACAAAACGGCGCCGTATACTCAAATGTTCTGTAATGTTTTCTTCCTAAAATGGAGAAATGAGAATACAACTAACATGACAAACAAGATGGCTAACGCAAAGCTTACAAGGCTTTACAGCCCTTGAAACGCGCGAAAATCGAGGCGATGCAAAACTACCGAATACAAAGGAATGCAAATAAAGCTGAGATAATCTTCATCTTCCATGGCCGCATCTCCTTTCGGGTCGCGGAAGCAGACGTCAAACGATGCATCAAACGCTCCCGATCTTATACCAGAGTCAGAGCTTCTGCAAAAACAGTGAAGTCTGAAACAGATTCCTTCCATATATTTGCACCAGGTTAATCTTGGCCGTCCTCTGTGCCTTCTGCCGGTCGGTTGGGCAACAATTAGTTGCTTAGCTTTCCTTTCTCAAGTCATTCGCAACACGTGCCCAAACCATCGCAGCTGTGACTTCTCAATCTGAAGAAGCAGCGGCTGTACAACAAGTCTTTCCCGGAAGTCAGTATTCCGGGCCATGTCGAGACGCGTAAGGCCAGCGACTCGTCTAAGAAAGCCCATTTCAGCAGCTTGTACCCGGGTTCGAAACTTTTAAGTCATGGTCCACGACTCATAACCGTAGGTAAGCATGGGGATGACGATCGACTTAACATCGAGAACACGGAGAGCATATTTTCAGACTGAGTCACAATGAATCAAGATAGTTCACGCTGAACGCCAATGGCTACTCCAATTCGCCGGTCGATCTTTCTCAAACTTTCTATCACCAGTGAACACGACTCTGAAGCATTTGAACTTCTCCACCTGTTCTACCGCCTCTTCCTTTGAATTCCTTGAAATTTAAAAATATTTTTAACTCTGACCTAAAGTGAAGAATGATAGCTCAGTTCTTCAAGGAAAATCTGCGCCCTCGTCAGAGCAACTTTACTGAAGATGAAAGTCCACTTACTAGTTTTCGAACTTATCAGCCTACAGCAAATTAACAGACAGATATTAATAACGAAAGCAACGTTATTCGTTCGACAGTGGTACAATGGAGTGAGTCAGCTCAGTGTTCCGTGTTCGTGCGGATTTTCCGGAAGCCCAAGTGAGACTAAGCTGATACCCCTTTTATGCCAATCTCCGCATCCCTTCGACCGTGCAAAATCTTTCTTCTTGTCAGTCTGTTTATCCACCTAAAAACTCCG